GAGTAAAGAAATTGTTATGAAAACAGCAAAAAAAACTTGTGTTACAGCCGGCAATGGACGTAAAACTGTTTATTCATTTTTCAAATGTGACATTTTAGTGATGCTTAAATGAAATGATTAAGTGAAAAAAACAGGATGTGAGCACATGGTTTTGTCTTTAGTTTTTGTTCGCTCGTACAATTTTGGATGGTTGCCTGTATGCGATTGAAAAGCTTATTTGGAAACTAATACAGTCCTGAATTGTTCCTACTTTGGTTTTAGTAGTTATTTTTTGGTTGCGGGAACAACTTGCCAATTTATGACATGATAACGAAAAAAGTAGTTTAAAAACGAACTAAAACATTCAACACACTTTGATCACGTGACTGATGACGTCTTGTCCATCTTTTGGTCATGAAAAAAATTATCAGGTAGAGCATTGCTTTCCAGCAAATTTTCTCTGCCGTCTGATACGATGTAATAATTTGGAAATAGTCACGTGGCTGATTACGTCCTTACCTTAAACATGACATGGAAAGATATTTTATGGCAAATGTTATCTTTTTGTGGTCTGACAGTCTTCTTCATATAAAATTGTCAAAATTATAAATGTTTAGAAAATTGCCTCAAAGGATTCTGAGAGATTTTTTATGATAATTGTAATTTACTTTTATAATAATTATTTTCCGAGACCTGAAAACCATTACCAAGAAAGACATAACAATCAGTTTGTTAACATACCAGGATAAAATAGTTACTAAACTACAGTGGAAAACACTCTGCTCCAATACGTATATTGCTTTTTGATAAATTGCGAAAGAATCTAGCTAGTATCTAGTTTCCTTATTAAATGGTGCATGTATCACATGATCATTAAAAAAAAGAAATAGAGCCTTCGCTCATTTTCTTACCTTACTTCTCGGAGATTCCTCAGCTTCTTGATGTTATGTCGGTGTTGAAAATAAACGAATAAAGAAAACAAAAGAAATTAATTAATTAAAATAAGAGTCACAAGAAGTCATTGCATTCCTTAGCTTGCTAATTGGCGTTACGGGTTGTGTTGTTAGCTGAGAAGCACCCAATGGATCTGTTACTCCAAAACTCTGTTCTTCAGGCCAATTTTTTTTGGCTGGAGATTTGTAATAAAATTATATTTCCTTGGAAGGAAAAGGTTGGTGGAAGATAGACAATTCTGGGTGTCTAAAGGGATTTGAAGTCTTGATTTGATAGCTGTAATGTGCTATTTGTCAAAAGGGGTCCCCCAACTGAAGGGGTGAATTTCGTTCCAAGGCCAACTCCCATTTCCTGTCAACCCCCCCCCTTTAAGGGCTGAATTTTGCCCCTTTACCACACCCAAACTTGCCAGTAATGTCTGGACATACGGTTGCTGGGAAACTTCCCAGTAAGTTAGGTTGCAGGTTGTAGGTGCACCTTGCTGGCTGTTAACTCCTCCATCAGTCTTGCTGGGAGTGAGGAACAGATACATTTTTCCCAGCAATCTCCCAAAATGCTTAAAATGGCTTCAGAAAGCTCTATTCATGCTTTGTTGTTGTTGTTAGGTCTTTTTGTCAAAATTTCTTATTGGGTGCCCCTGTTAACTATGACGTCGAAAATCATCGAGAATGCTCTACTTGTACTGATTTATTATGTACATGCACAACTCAAATAATCTATCATCGATTTACTGTTCACAAACTATCAAAAAAATAAAATATAATGGAAATATTTATTGGCTGACAACTTCCAAGCAAACTGAAGTTAATTCCTGGCATTCTATTTCATTTCACAGATAATGTTTGATGTTGGGGGGCAAGAGCTAGTAGTACCGTTTGATTCTTCCAACATGGTTCCGTCAAATCTGCAAGAAAAAAAGAAGACGTATAGACTGCATGCTCAATATTTTTTAGATCCATAAAATTAAAATTAATAATTAGAGATTATTCAGTTTAAATTCAGGGTAATGAGGTTGTAATAGAGGCTGTCTTCGTCCAATCTTTCCTGGCCCTGGTTTGCTATTTTGGATTTTATACTGGAGTGTGCTTTCTCCATATATTGTAGGTAACTAGAAATTAGGTAAGGTTTATCGGCCTGAATAGCGAAGCGAGGAAATAAATCACATAACCCGTCACTTCAGCTACCTGTACACCTAACAAACATATCGAACGCACTCTCCTAGGCTCCGATTACTGCTAGTTTTAACTTTGGCTAGGGTTCCTGGAAAGTTAAATGAAAAGGACCGCAAAACGAATTATCTAAAAAACACCTGATCAGTAAAGACACCTTGAAAATTGCACAGCTGATCAAACTGCGTGAACGTTCACTTTGCAAGACATAAATTCCACACCGAAAGAACCCCACAACAGAGCGCGGTTTCAGCTACAACCCCGCTCTGCCCGATCTGTCTTGGATTCTTTCGGTGTCGATTTTATATCTTGCAAAGTTAATTTTCATGTAGTACGATCAACATTGCTAATTTCAATACTTGATGACATAAAAGTATACCTCCTGTATAAAAACAAGCGATGAAATCTCTTCGGCCCAATTTTCTCTTAACCTTTCTTAACGTTTTCCAGGGAAAAGATTGTTATGGGAAAAAGATCGTTGTATGGTGTTGGATGTAATAATGATCGCCTTTTTCCCTAGAATTATAAAGTGAAGTGTTCTTTTTGCCCGAAAAGCGCGCATAAATACTGACTGAGTGCCCCCCTGGGCATCCTATAATTCTCCTTAAGTCTAATTAATTCAATATGCAGCCGTATCGGTAAAAAGGCCTATTAACAATATTATGATTTCACACCAAAAATTACACGACAAGACGTTCAATTGTCTCTTTATTACATCACAGAATTTAGTCAGTATCAATATATATTTGATCTAGTAGCAGGTTTGTTGAAAAGCAGTAATAAAAAGGCGGCTACATTTCATTTTGTACCCAAAACAGAAATACAATATAGAGTGCAAATGGTGTAATTTGAAACATGAATGATGCAATAGCCCTTATGCATGTTTAATCAATCACCACATTTTTGGGATCCAATGCAATCGAACGAATACCGACTGGCTTCGGAAAAAAATTATGTGTTCCTTCTTTGTTTGACATATCCTCACAAACGGGTGTAGACAAAACCTGGGCCTGGCCCATGGGCTAGCCCATGGGCTAGCCCATGGGCTACCCTATGGGCCACCCTATGGGCCACCCTATGGGCTACCCCAAAATTTAAAAAATAAATAAAAAAAATTAAAAAAAAAAGAGATCGCACGAGGCTTTAGGCAGTAAGGATTTAATCGCTTTGTTTGCTACGTGATTTAGTATTGAGAATGGCTCGTTATTTGTTCGTCGCGTAAGCAATTGAGGTGAGCATTACTTTGTTAATAATGGTTCAATAGCTGATTCTCCCCTATGGGGGAATCCCATAGGGGGAATCGGCTATTAACGGTCTTGAATTGTTGGATTTGAAAAGGGCTTGCTTAAATAAACACTTAGGCTGAAAAGTTTGCCGACTGAAAAAACGATGGGACCCCAATTTTTTGTGGGAAATCGAATGACATGATTGTCGTCCGTGACAAACTGAACAAGATAATTCGGTGTTATCGTTTATGGTTTATGCTTTTCACAGCGACAACGTTTTTTTCAATTAGGTATATACATGACCCACCCCCTAAAAATCTACCCTACCTAGCAATTCCACCCTTCTAAGAGCTTTATTCAGTCAGAAAACCATCATGACCCACCCCTCTAGGGGCTCAAAGAAGAAATGACCCACCCTTTGCCAAGGCTCAAAAATTGCTGAACTGCCTTTTTTTTTGCTCCAGCCGACCCCACCCCTATACTTTTTACCAGTCCATGAAGAGACTAATGGTAAACACAAATTCTCATTTTTTTAAATAATTGTAAAACACAAACGTTATGTACAATACCAATAAAACAGAATGTTGACCGGATCACGTGATCTCCTAGGTAATGATAAAGAAACTGCGAAAACTGAAGAGATTGTTACACAGAGATTGTTACCTAGTTGTATATTTATTTGACATGAAACAAAACTAGTTGAGTCTTTCTTTTAAAATTTCTATGTCGCCGCTATCTAGGAACTCAGAATATTCACTTGACTGGGGTCAAAGTGTGGATTTCTTGCCGAATGCAATTTCCATATAAATGGAAGTGTTTGTTCTCAAATGTTTTTTGTACTTCTGTTGGCTCTCGATCCACACAAGGTCGTGCTCTTGGTGGCGAATGCAAAATTTGTTGTCGATGTCCCCCTAGAGAAATTGTCTGGCCCATCTCTGATGTTGCCCTTGCATCCTGCTGCACATTTTTTAATTCGTGTGGTGAGTCCAATTAGTTCAAAAGGGGTGTTCATTGTGGGTTGTACTGCTGGCTTCGGAGGCTTGCTTCTTCTAAATGTTATTCTAAGCGGTTGATTAGAAGATGTCTCAGCGGTATATCTTGATGCCGATCGATCACCACTTGCCATTAGATCTCCAAGCGTCTTTGTTTGTGTCTTCCGTCCTAACTGGCTTGACTGAGTCATAACGTCCGGCGACTTATTACGGCGCATTCTTGCTGGCTTTTTGGCACCCGCACTTTTGTTAACCGCAAAAGCGTTGTCAGTGCAGTCAAGTTGTCCTTCTTTTCTTGTTGTTGATACCATTTTACATAGCCCGTAACGTTCCTGTTGTGAGCAGCAACTGCGACAGTGTGGGCACAAATTTTTCGCGACTTGAAGCCCAAACACTGCTTATCGCAAACATATCCGTTGTCTGCAAGTCTTTTCACCATGTGGGGCGTTTGCTGAGACTCACTTTTCACGAGAAAACAGTTTTTTTCAAACCCAGCACGGATGTTTTTCTCTCGACAAAGCCTCTGCGCCTTCTCGCCAAGCAGCCGCAGATCTTTTCTGTGAACAAATCTGACAGAGCATTTAAGTTAATTGCAGCATCTTCACGATTCAGTTGAGATTTTGGCGGAGCAGGTCGATGGCCGTAAACTTTCTTGAAATTTTCTGCATCAACATAGGCTTTTAAATTGTTAGTGGCGTTATCGCGATCACCAGGTTGTTGGTCAAAAAGGTATCAGTTCCTTTTACGGAGCCTTGGTACTCAGGCCTCAGTATATACGGGCTTGAAAGCCCCAGCAATGCCCGTTGAACATCACGTCGCTGTTTGGTGATGAGGCCCCTACAATCCTCGATAAAACTGGCCATGTCTGTGGCTTGGAAGTCTTGCCATCGTTTGAGAAAAGCATTTGCTGACTCTGAAATGTTGTTGGCTTGTACTTCGTCCTCAAAACCCGCATTTTTGATGCTTTTCGCTGTAACGTGGTTCCAAATCTCCTCTGCCTTGTAGCGTCTGAAATATTTTGAAAACGAGTTCCTCCGTGAGTCCTTGAATTCCTTGCGGTCCCATTTTTTTCGGTCAACGAGTTTAACTTTTGGTTGTACTCCTCGTAGGGAGTCGGCGTATACTAGACCCCCACTGCCAAAAATGTCATGAACTATCTCATTCGTCAGCGACTGGGAAAACCGAAGTTTCCGACATTTTTCCTCAATGTTTTTCTGTGCGTGTACTTTGCAAAGCAATGATGCGGAGTTGGGAAACACCTGGGCTAGTGCTTGACGCAGCGCCTTCCTCTGAATCAGTGCAATACCCCTTAAGGTTTACTTGCAAACCTGGTACTTGGGCGGAGATTTTTGAAACAAAGTCAGGTAGGTAGCCTTGTCTTTCAACATACACAGCATTACCGGACCAAGCATTACTGGACACGTTGGTGGATTACTGCGTTTAAATGAAAAGTGTCGTGTTTCGGTAGGTTGTCACCAAAACAAAGAAAGGTCCCAGTTGAAACGTCACGCCTCTACGTACAGCAAAGAGGTGTGCCCGTGGACCTCATTACAGCAGAAGTTTACAATGTCTTCAACCTGTTCATCCATAAACAGGATAACTTTAGGCGACTCATCGTCCAGGCTGTATCCTCTGGTAAATTTCTTATCTTCGGTTTTCATCTTTTCCGTGATCTCGAAAATTGGATCGGCAATACGCCCTTTACTGTTTTTTTTTTTTCAGATATTTTGCCTGACGTTCATTCCTTGGCAAAGCCCCAACGGAATTACAGTTGGCTATGTCTCCCACTTCCATTTCTACTTCGTGAATAGCTCTCTTTAAGCCTTTACCTTTTTGGTTTGCATTTTTTTTTTTAGTGTCTTCTGGCGTGCTCTTATAGGTTCTTAGATAAGGGATACTGCACGATTTCGCGTTGCCATGGTGCTTAACTTTCACTTCATGCTCTGGAGCATTAACGAATTCATATTTTACGAAAACGATGTTGTGGTGCTTTCCATCTGGATGGGTAATGTCAACTATCGTCTTGTGCAGAGACCTGTCACTCGCATTGACAAATGGACGGCGGCACACTACAAATGCATCAGGGGAGTTGTCACCCACTTTAACTACTTTCTGAACTTTGCCGTTTATATCACATCTCGTTTCGTACCATTTCTTCTTTGTCTTTGTTTGATTCCAGGAGCCAAGATCGTCAGAGAGTAAGTCTTCACAGTCGTTAAGTTCGTCAAGATTTATTAAAAATCTAACGTTGTGCTTGACTCGAACAGGATTTGACGTCGCTATAAACTCTTTGTAACACTGTTCAGCGTTGAGAAGTAGAGCCACGACTGAGTTATTAGAGGAAGATTTATCGAGAAGACTAGTCGGCAGACACGGTAAAGATTGTCTGTTAAAGTAATACTTGATGATCTGGGCTTTGGATAATTCACTTTTGTTCCTGTGGAATGAAACAAAATAATGTAACCCTATTGGCAATAGCTATTTCCAGAATCAAGTAAATTGGACATAACAAATCTACACAATTCTAGCATGAAAAGTTTGATATTTGCCATGCGTCTTACCAAAACAGTCCGAAGTTTTAAAACTGCATGCATTTCACAACTTGCCTGATTCTGATTGTTGTTTTGTTTGTGAAAGTAACTTTGTTTTCAGTACTGGTATCTAAACAGACATACTAATGCTTACCTGTTCTCTTCTGTGTTCTCTTCTTCTTCGCTTACAGACGTTTGAGCCCTGACAGAAAAATGCCGCTATAAGTAAATTAAGGATCGAGCCCGCGATATGGTCATCGAAACTGGTCAGCGGAGTCCTTGTTTAATTGACAATGACGTCAGTCAAACAAGGCATCCACTGACCAGCATCACATGACAATAGCCCACTTGCAAAAGGAGTCGAAGATTGGGGCGAGAGTAGACGCGCGCTGAGTTGTGGGATCGTTTGGGGGCCTGCGAAAACGTAATGACGAAACGCACGTGCGCCCCCACACGATCCCATAACTGGCAAGAAGTTGAAACCTGACGGAGTAGCTGAACTGCCCTACAAAAACTACAGTAATACTTACAGTTCTTCCACGGAAGAAGCCTCTGCAGTATCACTATCTTCCGAGTCTACACTGTCACTGTCTTCAATGTCACATTCCCCACTTAATAAACTGCAATGCTCCACCTGTGTTGGTTGTGCCTCTGATTTACTCTTGTTTGACTTTCGTTTCATTTTCTTCGTTTTTCTACTTTTGGCAGATGTTTTAGACGGTGATCTATCGATGCAGATTCTAACAGGCGATGCAAGCTGAAATAGATAAGATTAGCCATTAACAAAACGCTGCATTATTTCTGTGAAGTGTTTTTGCAACCCCATTACGTGAGCGAAGACTTCTAGTGTTATAAACTTCTGATGGGCCTGACATTTTTTTGCCTGATTTATTTTTTATTAATTTTCAAATTTTGGGGTGGCCCATGCATAGGGTAGCCCATAGGAATTCTTCGAGAATACTTCGGTAACCTTCAGAAGTCTGTTCTAAATTGGTCAAAACAGAACACTACAGTGTAGCGGTAGCTCGTATTTTCCGCAATAGTGGAAAAACAACGTTCTCGTACCTTTGAATACTTGTAAGATCCTGTAGGAAGCACAGGTTGACCGGGACAATACTCCTCTTCCTCCCATGATTCAAAGACTTTGGTTCTTTTCTAAAATATAGAGATCGTGAGAGAAGTAATGTAAAACTGAAAAGAGAATGCAATATATTGTTGCAGTATGTGCACATGGGGCATGCAAAGCGGCGTAAATAAATGTTTGACATTATAATAAAAAAAAAAATGCTCCAAAAAGGAATTCAACGTAAAACTCTGCAAAGCCGGAGCACAGTCTACACATCTTTATTTTTACACATTACATGCGATCATAACCACACTCTGGCGGCTATTATAAACCAAAATGTTATACCTCAGCACGTGGGCAGTGTCCGAACCCTGGTGTTGGTGGTAACTCCTCTCCTTCGAACCACTCGTTTCAAAGTCCTGATACAGGAAAAGTGAAGAATAAAATTAACAACAGTTATCCTATGCAATTAAAAGGGTGAAAAGGGAACAAGGGTGGAGGGTAAATAATATTGATGTTATTATGTTACCATTGCGACAAACTGGGTTCCAGGCCTCCCCCTTTTTTAGGGCTTTTCTGGCCTTAATAAGACTTGCATTTTAGTATTTCAAGGTGATGCCTCATTTTCCTGATCAAGCAAGGATATCATTGTATTCAGTAGACTTCTTTTTGGACTTCATTTTTCTCAGCTAAAAACCATCAAAAAATTGGAATCAGGTCTATAGGGCCTGGAAACGAGTAAGTTGCCATGGTAACTGGATTTTATTATATCAGTATGTGTGTCACCAAGTTTCAATTGTTTCTGCCAAAAATTGACGAAGATAGCTCCATTGATATAATAAAGATCAATTTCGATTCAGTAGATGACGTCAGCAGTTCCTAATTTGCATATTTTTGTGCATTTCTTAAATCTAAAAAGATACAGTACTTGAAAACTGTTAACAGCATTTAACGCTAAATGATGCCATTAGAAAATCAGACAGGAAAAATTTGATCATAGTACCACTTTAATAATTGGATTGACAAGACTCACCTGACTCTTACTCTTTTCCATATTTTCTTGTAACGTGTTTTCGCCAGGCTGCATTTCCTCCTCTGCTTCATCAGAGCTAATGGAAATGACGTCTTGTTCTTCATGAAACAGATCATTCTGTAGGAAAAATGGTAAAATGTAACTGCGTTTACTTTTCAGGGGTTGAGGGGGAGGGGTGGAGTGAGGGGTAGAGGGTGAGGGAGAGGGGTAGGGGGGCTTAGGGGTAGGGGTAAAGGGTGGGAGAGGGTAGGGGTGGGGAGTGAAGTTAGGGGTGAGGGCTGAAGGGTACAGGGTATGGGGGTAGGGGTGGGGATGATGGTAAGGGATAGGGGTGAGGGGAGGGGTTGGGGGTGTGGGGTAGGTAGATAGTTATTTATGGTTAAAATTTTCACACGGATTTTGTATTCTTCATCCAACATACTATACAAACATTGTAACCTTTAAGAAATAATAGATTTTTCTGGCAGCTGTTTTAAAGAGTTTTAATCCTGTAAAGTCAATGAGAAAGTTGATCCAAACTCTATCATTAATTCGCAAATATATTAATACATGAATAAACCAACCTTTTCCTGCTGGCACTTTTCTTTTTCACATGTACATCATTCTCGTCTTTTATACTTTCATTCTCTGCTGGCTTCCTGTCTACTTTGACACATGGTTTCGCTGAACATGGAACCTTTGTTTTATCGGCGTAAGTTTCAGTTTCCTATAAAATTGAAATAAGATTATTATTCACCAGAGTGTTTAATTTAATTTTGCTAGCAAGCTAGCCTTGATCTTTTCTGTGTGTTATCAGGGGCCAAAAATTGGTCTCATATTCTTCCAATATTGCCCCCACCCTATGTTCATATAAAGTATTATTTATTTTCATCCCCACCCCTTACACCTCACCCAGAACATCTACTGTAGTGATGAGCGGAAAATTTACAGGGCACAACGGACCGAGTTGAAAGTAATCAATTTTGGGTAATATAGTTACCTTCTGTTTAGGCTTTATTGACATATAGTGCTCAGCATCTGCATCATGGCCAAAGTAAAGAGTACCAAGTTTTACTCCAGTTCTAGGCACTTTGCTTTCAACACATTCTTTAGTGTCCTTAGAAAGAAAAGAAACATATATTGCAAAGGTCAAAATTAAGGTAAGAACAAGGTCATACCCTAAGAAGAAGTTAAAAGAAGAACTCAAAAGAGAAAAAAAAGGTCACCCTTTTGCACATCTGGATTTTTGACTGCTTTTTTACTTCAAAAGTACCACTGGTGTGATTATGTTGAATAGCCTAGCTACAGGTATAGGTTTGACTATAGGTTTGATGTCTGTTTTCTCATTGTATCCATGGATACCATGAGAAAAAAGATCTGCTCAGCCAGCCAGGCTGCAGATAATAATGCACCTTTAGTGACAGCAAAAATCTTTCTTACCTTGCGTACTGTCACTATAATGACCTCGTAATGGGTAACTTCAACAAATGCTGTTATTATCATGTCATTGGCATATTCTCCTCTCAACTTTTGAAGGGCAGCATTCCAGTCGAGTGGTTTTTCTTGTCATGGAAATCCTCTTCACAGAGGAAGTCCAATTTGTCATTTCCAGAATCCTTGAAATGAAAATTGAAAATTTTTAAGCTTAGTGCATAAATAAATCAGATACTTTCGTTTAGTTCAACAAACTCTCTCGTTGATGGGCACTCAGACACTCACGCAGCCCCGAACAGTTTAGTTCAAAATTCTAGGTGTATTGTAGATTGTCATATCTGACGCAACATTTTTAAACAGGCTTTCAAATGGAAGATATGAGGCTTCTAACATGAACAATTTTCTTCCTTTAAAAGCAAATAACTTGAAATCAAAAATCAAAAAATCGGCTTCAGATATGACACAATAGAGATCAGTGAGTGGTGAAATCAACTTGCTTTGTTTTTTTTTTCTTGAGTAGCGAACTTGGACACAAAATCACGTTTCACAAATTTTAACTTATGAACATCGCAACATTACCGTAAAGCGCGTTTCATTGGATAAAAAAAAATACTGGTAAACTCTCACCACTCCCCAATATATCTGTTAAGTTCTAGCGAGTTCAAAATTGACACCCCTACCCAAATTTTGCCTTATGAACGCGTTTAATTTTGCCGAATGTTTCGCCAAAGACCGCAGCTTAAAAAGTGCACATCTGGCCGTCATTTGCTTGTCTGTATTCCATAATGTTTTCAGAAAATCAAATAGTCACAAATGATCACAAAATCCTGCTGTCGGACAACATGAACATGAAACATGAACAACATATTTCGCCGGAAAAAAAATTTTCCCCAAGGCGTCCACTCATTTAGGACATAATGACACCTTTGTCTTTTATTCCGAAATATCTTTTTTTTTTACTTAATATCTCCACACGCTTTTCAAGACTTTCTTTGAACATTTTTTTTTCTCTGAATATCAGAAAATTAACTTCCACTGAGTGAAAATCATTTTGATTTTTGTCACTCTAAAAACTTTAAAAAAACCTTAAAAATACAAGATAGGTGATCGTATCTGACTTGCGTCAGCGACTTCGCGTCAGCCGTCTCGCGCCAGCGCCAATTTCTCAAGTTTCATTAAGGCCTGGTCAAGCGGTGCATGATTGTTGATGATTGTTTTGCGTTGGAAACTATCATCAACAATCATGCACAATCATGCGGGTGGTCAAACGACTTAAACCAAAACTTCCTAAATTAACATTAACAACATAAGCTGAGCGCCGTGCGTGTGTAGCATTGCCCGTGTCAACAAATATGCCCAGCAAGTATATCACTTTGGTTGCATGTCAGCTACCGTCGGTACGATCGGCAGTTGTAATTCAGGTTGTCAATTTCCAAGGCTAGATGCTGGTAAAAAGCTGTCACTTAACAAAACAGACTTATCTTTATCGTACGAAGGTAAGCTATAAATACTTACATCGTATTGATTAGCCTTGAGGTGATCAAAGACTACACTCTTCAGCATTTCCAAAGGAATCTTTAAGGCCGTCGCAGCTGAAGAATAAAAGCAATTCCGTCCCCAGGCGGGTTAAATACTGACATCATATCCGAGTTTCTCAAATTTACTCCCCATATCTAAAGAGCAGTGGACTATATTACGAGTAAACTGAGCTATATATATGAACGTACTCCCGAGTTCGTATTTGTGTTCCACGTGCAATCGATGTGTAATGTGATGTGAGAAGTCGAGAACAAACGCGCTAGCTTTGCCTTAATATTTGTAATAATTATTGTATTAACTAGCTAGAAATAGTTGACACTACAGCTATCAAAAGGGGGTGGTAGGCCTACACGACTTTTACCTCATGTCAAAATGCTGCTTATTCCAATAAAGTTGTTTTTCTCTGCTGGGTAGATTATGCTCTGGAAGGTTCTGCATTTTACTGAGCAAATGTGGTTTTAGCCGCATGTTTCACACTGAGAGGTCATGACATATATATCGATTGACTGTAGTTATTGTTTTCTGGTCGGCAGGATTTGCCCTCTGATGCAAGCGCATTTTCTCTTTTGAAGCGTAAAGCTTTTTTATTTCGGCTGAATAAGGTTTTCAATTTTCTCCAAAGTTCCTTATG